ATTGGCTTTACTATTTTCAGGCATCTCTTGGTTTTCTATCTTAATATTCTAGTATGTATTATGGTTATGAAAATTATGTAACAGATTGAGGACAAGTGGAAAATCAAGTCCCAAAATTTGGCTGATTTGTACAAGGAAGCTAGGGAGCTGAAGGATAAGTTTCTCTCATTCCAAATCAGCCATGTTAAGAGGGTAAAGGCCAATAATAAGTTGTCATTCAATTATTTGTGTTGAAACTACATATTTATCATCATAATTTATATGAACCAAGAAGAGTTACTATATTTTTCCCATTCCATTATTATATGACATTGCTGTCATAATTTGCGCCCGTTGCCTCTCATGTCCTGCACCGGTGCTGCTTCAGTAAAATGCTTTCATAACTTTAGTTTTTACTGTCATTGCCTGCAACTGACACACTGTTCGTTTTCAAGGAATTTAACTCAGAAGCTGATGCTCTGGCAAATGAAGCTATTAAACTCAGGAGTAAGGGCATTAGATCTATTATTAGATGTTTATGATGTGTCACACCTTTGCATTTGCATAAAAGGTTGAACCTGGTGCTTCTGCAGGTGGTCAAGTTGAAGTAGATGGTATAACAACATAGTTCAAAGCTCAAGGCAGTGGCACAGTACGTATGAAGATATGAAGGTTCTCAACCGGAATGTTAATGTAGGCATGATTATATTATGCCATCACTTGATCCAATGGGGATCTTGACTTTTGTTCCTTAACTGAGGCATGTGAACTATGCCGGTACTTGTATTGGCTCAAGTAGTTTCTGTGGACTAACCATAATCTACAATTGGAATGGACAACTGTAATCTACCATTGCTTAATGCCTATGATCTAGTTTTACTTCGGTTCAAGGTATACCCCCTGAAATTGATGCTTCATAGAGGATGTCTCCTTCCAAAGGAGAAGAAATGTGCATTGGCGAGGATTAAAAAGAAATATTTTCTTCCTTGATAATACAATTAAAACTTGAGAAAACTGTTTTCGATTTGGATTACATGTTAAAAATGTAGTTCAAGGATTAAAATTAATAAAAGAGTTTTATTAAATGTGTCTTGGTAATTTTAATGTACACTTTTATTGTTTGCTATCAATTGAAAAACACATTTTTGTTAAAACTTTGAGGGCCGAAAAGAAATTTGACAGTTTGAATGATTAAATACATAAAGTAAAAAGAAGCCTATTCTTGTGATGTCACAATTTAATTTTTCGTCCAATGAAAGGATTATGTCCTTATTTTAAAACTGTTAAAGTCTGCATCCTGAACTTCAAATTTGTTAAAAGTATATGTCCTTTGTTTTCAGTCTTGCCAAAGTTAATCCCATCAGATAAGTCTCCACCTTCCACCCAAAAATCCATCTCTCGGGAAACGAAGGAGAAATGGCTACACTCTCACCTTTCTTGACTCCCCTCTATTCAATCTCCAGAACCAGTGTTTACAAGCTTAGAATTTCTTGCTCTCAATATTCTGTCCGTTTTCAGAACAAGAACAATGGTGCCGTTCCTTTCAGGAACTTGGCGCTGAGCACCCAGAAGAGGCAGAGGTTTTGTGGGATGAGGAGGCTTAGCTCTGTTGAAGAAGACTCCTTGGTCCCTGAACCCGAATCAGACAGCAACGGCGGTGAGCAAGTGCAAGCAGCAGAATCAGCTGCTCAAGAGGAGACAGTTTCTGTGCCAGTGTCTCCTTCTGACAAGCTCACAATGTATTTCCAGGTATTGGTTTTTAGTGTTTCTGTTAATGATATGCATTTTTGTGCAACAATTTTAGCATAGCCTGAACTGGGTATTTCTGAGATTGTTGGCGTTTTCTTGGGATTTATGATTTCTGATTTATGTTTTCATTGCTGGCGTTGGTTATTCCGTATTGCCTCTTCAACCCTTTTTGATATCATGATTAATGAGGTGATAGTAAATTGTGCTGAGACTGAGATCTTTAAATTGGAATGTGATTTTAATTTTAATTTTTTTATTTAATTCTGGACACTCAAGGATACTTTTAGAGGAAAATTCACATTTGAAAAGCTGATTGCATTTTGGGTAGGAGTTCATGTACCTACTTTTGATGAAATAGTATATGTCATGGGTTTCCAATCGAGCAAGAATTTGTTTTGTTTAGGTTTTTTTTCTTTTCTTTTTCTTTTCTTTTCTTTTTCTTCTTATTCTTCCCTTTTTTTTTTTTTTGCATAGCTTTGGGTTCACTTGTGTTGCCTTCTTCTGAACCCTTTTCACTCACAACCATTTTTTTTACGGTATGAAGGCAGATGGAACGTTGGCTGAATCAGAAATTCCTAGAGTGACCAAGGCCTTAGAGGTAGAATTTTTATGCTCCTTCTTAACTCATTTATATGTCTATTCGGGGTTATGCATACATGCTTTCTTTATAAAAAGAAAAGAACAATTCCAAGACAAGGATGAAATTATTTGTCGTGATATACTCGCTATTTTCTGATATTGAGTTTAGGAAAGTTTTACTTGTGTTGTCACTGATTAACCTTCTATGTAAAATTGATGTACTACAGAAGGTTGGTTGTAAGATAAAAAGGGCGGCATTATTCATCAAGTATTTTTGCTGACTTTAAGATTGGATTAAATAAAATTTACTGGCATCAAAGTTGGTTAACTTCTGCTTTTGGGTCTAAATTCAAATGTTGGGGGAATGTAAAGGAATTATAGGAACATCAAAATGTAAGTTGAGATTTGAGCAGACTCAATGATGATTTGCATTCAACAACCAGCTTGACAGATTTCTCCTCAATCTGTGCACCTGAGTTATTTGGTTCACTGGTGCTGCATTTGTTTTCTTTATCTCCTTAAATTTCTTCATACCAAATCCTTGTAATTTTACTGTTGATGATTATGCTCTAGTTTGACCTGGGAAAATTGCTAACTTGTTATTTTTCTTCTAGGAATCTGAGGGTGTTTCCAATTTGAAGGTCCAAGTCATTGAGGGTATCGGTACCGTGGAGGTGTGTATTACTGATGTTTTCACATCATAAATCTCATATTTATGATTTAATCACTTTCCATGACCACATTTAGGCCATCTACAGTGTCATTGGTCAAATAATTAACTAGTTCAAAATGGAAAATGTATGAAATATAGGTAATCCGTTCACATCATTCATGACTATGCCTGATGAAATTTTCAGTCCAATTATTAAGTTTGCAACTTGACTATGAAAATTTCAGTTCATGGCATTTCATGGTTTACCAGAATGTGGATTATCCAAGAAATCCAATAATATTCTTTCAAAAAAAATTTATTGTATTTGAGCAGGAGATTTAGCTGCTATTGTGGGTAATAACCCTTTTCTGTCCTTTTTTCAGTTAACCAAACAGACCACAGTTCAAGCTACAGGGGTGGCTTCCAGTTTAGTTGAGATCATACAGGGTGCAGGTTTCAAGTTGCAAACATTGAATTTGAGCTTTGATGATGAAGAGGATATCCTTGTCTAGTTATTGTCTCTTAGCCATAAAACTACACAAGGAAGTGGGAGGTGGGGGCAATGTATTTTTTGAAGATCTTTGTTACTTTTTAGATTTTACCTTCTTCCCCTTTCCTGGTTGGGGGTTGAGCTTGGCCTGTGTGGGGATTGACCCAGCTGCTTGAGAGAAGCTGTATTTTTCTCCATTTCTGTATGTCACCCGTTGGCATTTACTTGAAAATTGCTTAAATGAAAAAATCCAAGACATCATTCTTGCAAGCTATTTTCAACTTAGAAGTTGCCTTTGGTGGAAATTCCATCTTAAGAGAAGGTGACTTATATTTTTATTAGGCCTGAATCCTGTTTTGATATCTTTAATATTGGCACTTTCCAAATCTAGTAAGTTCATAGAATCCCTAAGCAGTAGCTTCCAAAGCAGAAATCCAATCCCAGTCGCTAACCTCCAGCTTTCTATCCTATTCAACTGTAATCTGCTGACATGTTTATCTTCAGTGATCCAGGATAAGCTGACGCCTTGAGATATTTCAGGTTCAGAACTTCTAATTTCTGGTATGTGCATGTAATTTTTGAGAATCCTCATCTAAATATTTTTCGGTTTCTGATTTGATGATGTACTGTTGCAAACAATCACATGCATACAGACACATACCGAAATGTATTGGGACTACGCTGCATGCTCTGTGGAGAAAATTTTGAATACACAAACCCCTCATTCAGTTCAGTAAGTACATCAATATTAAATGCAACAGGAATCATAGAGCTAGTATGGCTAATTACTCCAATTCCAATAAAATGAGAATGTTTTGTTAATCTTTTTCATGTTGTTATGGACAATCACATCCGATGAAATTAAACACTCGTGTTTTAGACTTCAGAGAATGGACCAGGAGAATAAACTGCAGCCTTTTTTCGTCCTTTTTTTTAGGTCCAGAACAGACAGTAACTTGATCTTTAATCTTGTATTAAATTCCCTCTACAATTATTCTGAAAGTAGCTGATCCTTTGGTACCTGCTGACAGCAAAGTAAAGATAGACAGAAGAAATAACTGAGAAATTACTCTAAAGAGGCTGAATTATGAATATAATACAGCAAAGTTGTAGCTGGCAGGCAGTTATGTTATTGTTTGAATCCCATAAAGAAGGCATGGACCCTGTAAGCTGTCTCCTGAAAAACTGAGCCTTCTTGTTACCAACTGGTGTAGCTTTATATTTGTCCTTCTGTATCATTATGTTATTGTTTGAATAAAGTCCTGGGAGGGTATTAACTAGTTTGCTTTGATATGTTTCCTTGATTTAGATAGACAGAACAAATAATTGAGAAATTATATTTGAACTTCATTTTATTATAACTAGTTTGCTTTAATATGTTAGGTGTGTCTATTTGTGCAGTAGATTTTACCATTTCAACACAAAAGCTGCAATAGTTTTTGTGTTGAAGCAGTAAAATTGTTGGTGGAAATAGCCTCTCTCCCTCTCCTTCCCTTCCCTTCTTTTTCCCTACTCCTAGGTTACAGAGAAATAATGTTTTACTGGTGCTTTACCATTTCAACACAAATGTTTTATCATTGTCCAGATAAGATTTTCTCTGTTGTCCTATTACTGGTGCTTTACTCAGTTGACAATGCAAAGTAAAAGAAGATTGGTCTTGTTGGATCAAAAAGGAAACTCTAGAAGGACAGATGTTATATGAAGTGCTGGTCCGTCTCATGAACTGTATATATATATTCATGTTTTCGAGTACTTATTTGTCAGTTTATTTTTTTGGAGGCCAGTGTCTAGACTTTGCACATACCATATGCTACTATTTGCAATAATTTTTTTTACTAGTATAATTGGTAATTAAAAATGGAGATTGTTAAAGTTTGAAATTTAAATTTTAGGTATTATTGTTCCTTCTAAAAAAATTGTGTCCATTAAATCACAACCGTAATTGGTTACCATGTGCAATAATGTCTTTATATTGCATAGAAAAGTACATGGTTTTTAGTTTTACACAATGATATGGTTAAATGTAAAAGCAGACAAATGATATTGTATTATTAATTTTGTTAATTTTATTAATTTTAATTTATTAAAT